TCCAGGATCATGACCTGAGCCGAAGGCAGCCGCTTAACCAACTGAGCCACCCAGGCGCCCTCTATTTTCTAAACTAAGGATTTTATGCTTAAAAAATGCCTATTTCTCTTAAAGGGAAAATAATGTAAAGATTACTATTTCTTGAGAATTTATTAGGTTAGGTACTGAGCAGGCAGTGTCTTTGTGTATGCTGTTTTATTTAACAGAGAAACTTGGATTATTTTATCAATTTCTCAACAGATCTGGAGTACTGTGGTATCCCACAGCATACAGAAAATTTTGACCGTAGCAACAGGGTTCTTCCAGAACGTGCAGATATTCTGATTCATTTGCTTCTTATATGCTACGTTGAAACTTATTATCTCCTCTTCTTTCATCTTAAAACATTTTTTTTTTTAATTTCACCAGACATATGTGGGTTTGCAGTTTCAGGGATCAGTGACATTCAGGGATGTGGCTGTAGCCTTCTCTCAGCAGGAGTGGGAGAGTGAATCCTGCTCAGAGGCACTTGCACAGGGATGTGATGTTGGAGAACTATAGTAACTTGGTCTCACTGGGTAAGTTTACCTCTGTCAATAAATTAGAATCTTCTCCCCAACATTGTACATTTTAGGGCTATCTTAAGAAGTGAACGTAATTTCTTCCCTCTGTCCCCAAAGAAATGGTTTGAGCTTTGTTAGGCTGGAAAGGATGAAATGGCAGGATTAGAACTCTGGGGTGTTTATTGCATAAACATTGACAAAGGCCAGATTTCCCATTATGTTTATGCTCAAAATTGCTATAAATGCACTATTACTACCTGACCCACCTGCAGGCAAAACAGCTAGACACAGGGTCCTGATTTGTTCTATCTGAAGAGCCTGTGCAACTTACACAGTGGGGGGCTAGATAAACAAATCATTTAAACCTGAAGGTACCTCACTTTCTTTCTTACAAAACAGTTACCCTGATTTTGTGGTTAAAATTTATAATTCATGAACTTTGCATTTAAAATTAAATGAGTATCCTATAGATACATATGTCTCAAGAAACTTTTTGGTTTTTCTCTTAGAAAAATAACAGTAATAATGTTAGTAACTCACATTGTGCTTACTGTGTACCAGTCACTATCCTAAGCTCTTTACATGTTTGTATCTGATTTATATTAACTGATTTTTCTCCTCACAATCACCCTATGAGATAGGGATTATTGATAACCATTTCAGATGAGAATGTTGAAGACAGTTTAAGTGTGTTTCCCTAGGTCACACAGCTGGTAGGAGGCAGAAACAGGAATTTGAACCCATGCACTCTGGTACCAGAGTCTGTGTTCTCAATTACAAGGTCATGCTTTCTGTCAAGACACAGGAGAGAGAGAAAGAAAGAGAGAGAGAATAGATTTCACTTAAAACCTTTTGCCCATCTATTTGGATTCTTGAATCACCTTGCCTTTCCCTGAAGTACTTCTCAATGTCATTTTAGTCTATTCCAAGTTTAACCTAAGCTCAAAGTATTTTTTAATTCCTATTTTATTTCTTTTCTACATTGTATGGCATTCTTACCTTGTAAGCTGGACATTCCATTTCTAAACCACATCTGATTACTTTATTGGAACAATGGAAAGAGCCGTGGATGATAGTGAGGAAAGATCAAAGAAGACAATACACAGGTGAGTAAGAGCAGGTCAGGTAGAGAAGCTCTCATTGCTGGAAGTAACGCATGTGGTCAGGGAGTAGGCACATCTCTGAGCTGTTGTTTGTAACTTTCCCTTCAAAGGCCCCAGCAAGGCCTGCATAGAAAGCCTGAAACTTGGGAGAAAGATAAATATCTCACCAAAATTTCCAAAGAAGCTTCACCTTTACCAATTTTATCATTCCCTCACCTTCTCATATTTCCCTGGTCATCTTATTAGGCCTGCTCTCTTTCCCAGTGCAGTATTTCAGCTATATTTTGAATTTGACTGCTTTCAGCTCCTCTTCTGCATTCAGATTTATTTGTATATTCTGAGGTGGTGATAACTGAGCAGAGATAAGAACAAGAAGGGATTAGGCTGTATAATTATATAGAACATTCCAGGCAGAGTGAATAACAAATTTGCATTACTTGAGGTGGAAATGAGCTTTGTGTGATTCAGGAGCAATGAGCAGAGTGGAACAGAATTAATGAGGGGAGAGTAACAAGAAAAAAGGGAGAATATCAGAAGGGACCAAGTCTTGTATATTTTTTTGTTAATTATCAGGAACCTGGCTTATTTTCTAAAAGTGACTAGAAGCCATGATCTAATTTACATTTTTCTGATTTAAAAATTTTTAAAAATGAGATGAAGACTAGAAAGCCATGTTAAATTACACAGCTTAATGAGTTATTATAAAACAGATATCCTTAAAACATCAACCTGAGCAGAAGTAAAACATTTAAAAAATAATTTCAGGGGCACCTGGCTGGCTCAGTCAAAGAGTGAGCGACTCTTGATCTCGGGGTTGAGTTCAAGCCCCATGTTGGTTGTAGAGATTACTTAAAAATAAAATCTTTAAAAAAATAAACAATAATAATAAACTAATTAAATAAAAATAATTTCAGGCTTACAGAGAAGTTGCAGAATTCTACAAAGAATTTTCCTATTCTCTTCACCCAGATTCTCCAAATGAGGAGATAAAACTTCTCCAACTCCCCTCAAGCCCTTTACCAGCCTCTACCTAATGACAACCCTTTTTTCTCTCTCTCCCTGATAGATCACTTCCAACCACATCCAACCTTACGAAGCACCCCAAACCTCGCTATCGGTTTCACTACCTCTCCTCCAATTAGCCTGCTAACCTTTTAGATGAATATCTACTGGTTATTTTGAGGTTCTCAGGTCTACAGATACCCTCCATCACTCCCCTCCGCTTTTTCCTGCACAGATGCATAGAGGATGGACTGAATGGGGACAAGGGTAAGAATGGGAAACGCTGCCGCAAGGCCAATTCTGTAGTGCGAACTGGGGGTGATGGTGGTTTGGATTAGAATGTTAGTGGTGGAAAGTGGTGAGAAGGTGTGGCACTCGTAATGGATTTTGAACATAGAACTAACAACATGTTGGTGAATTATAAATGGGGGTGGCGGCAGAAGGACATGAAGAAGGATGAGCAGGTTTTGAGTTGAGCAGGTGAATCGTGACACAACTGCCTGAGATGGGAAAGAGAGAGAAAAGGCAGGATGGAGAGCAAATCTAAACACGCGTACTTTGAATATGTGAAGCTCGAGATGGCTATCAGAAATGCTGACGAGGCTGTTGAATATGCAAGCCTGAGCTCAGGGAGAGTATAGGCTCACACTTGGCGGTTGGGTTTTATTGGCATATGGCTGGTGTTTAAAGCCAGGGGAGTGCATGAGGTCTCCCAAAGAGCCAGTGCAGACAGAGGAGTCTCACAGTTGTGTCTGTCAGCGGGGCTGCACAAGAGACTGTTGAGAAGCACATTTTAAGGTAGAATTAAGTGGTACCACCAAAGACAAATGAAGAATATGTTTCAGGGCGGATGAATGATCACTGAAACAGGAATTAAAACAAGAAATGAGCAATGGCCTCAATATTTGACCTTCCCAGAAGGGGGAAATCCTCAGTGGCATCAAGGAATGAAAGCCTGACAGGAGTGGTTTAAGCAGAATGGGAGTGAGTACCACAGTTCTGTAGAGGCATTGCCTATGAAGAGATGGGGTTGGTTGGGACATGGGGTTACACCTGCATGATTGATGTTGGGAACGCTTCCACAGAGTGGTAAAAATGGATGAATTAGGAGGAAATTATTGTGGAAGCAATGGCCTTCAGCTGGGCGGGTAAGATGGTGGAATTTTGTGCATAAGAGAAAACGGTGACAGTGGATGTGGATGTCGGTAACTTAATTGATATAGTAGAGGAATGAATATATATCTTTTATCTTGTGTTTTCTCAGAGCTATAAGAAGAAAAATGATTAACTGAAAATTAATGAGGGGAGGTATGAAATCTTTGTTGTTGAGTTTACTCATGCTATACTGACTTATTCCCTTTTTGATCATTGTCTCTTATGCAGACAGGGGTGGTGATAATAGCAGTTTCTTTATTGATTCTCTACTCTATGCCTGACACTGTTCTAAGCATTTTACACGTTATTGCCTTATTGATTCTCACGGCAACATTGTGAGACGTTTTTCAGATTGCTATCAGTATTTTATTATCTGAGGGAACTAAGACTTGGGATGATTAAGAAATTTTCCTAATTATAGAGCTAGTTCTTAGAACTAGAATTTAGACAGAGTTGGCTTATCTTTAATAATCACTGTGCCATTCTGCATTTGTATATTCTTCTTTTAACTGAAATGTATTGATTTAAACAAATATGTACAGGGTTCTTAATTGATGGATTTTATGTAACTCTTTATTTTGAAATAATTCCTAACCAGAAAATTTGTGAGAATAACACAGAACATACATGTAACCTTTACCTGGAGACTGTTAATATTTTATATATTTGCTTTTTATCATTCTCATTCTGTCCCTTTCCCTTGAAATGACTTCACCTTTACCCTAAATGTTTCAGTGTATATTTCTTTTTCCTTTTTTTCTTTTATTTATATTCTTTTATTTAGAGAGAGAGAGAGTGCACATGAGCAGGGGGAGGGGCAACGGGAGAGGGAGAGAGAGAATCCCAAGCAGACTTTGCTGAGTGCAAAGCCCAACTCCGGCCTTGATCTCACAGCCCTGAGATCATGACCTGAGCCAAAAACAAGAGCCAGAAGCTTAACCAACTGAGCCACGCAGGTGCCTCCTCACTGGTATCCTTTATAGAAAAAAAATAAAATTCAACCCAGTATCCAAGACAAAAATCATGAATTTCATTTAGTAGTCTTCTTACTTTAATCTCCTTTAATTTGAAAGAACTCCTTGGTCTCTCTGCCTTTTATGATCTTGGCACTTTTGATGAGTACATCTCTTTTGCAGATTGTTTCTCAATTTGAACAATGTTTCAGTTATTTATTCAGTGTGAGCCCAGGCATTCTTACTGTATTCAGTCAGTTGTAATCTTCTACTATCATTTTGATATTCAAATTGTCTCATATTTGGCAAACGGGAGCCTCTTTATGGTAGCCTCTGTGTCCTTTTTTACTTAAAAAAAAAAAAACCCTTATAATGAAATTTAGTTTTAATATGTGAGCTAGAATATGTAATTAAATGGCATTCACAACTTAGTAAAGAGCAGCTCTAGTAGGATATGGAGATGTAAGTGAGGGCAAGAGATGTAGACGCTGGAGTCTGCTGAGGAGAGATGGCCCAAGAGTGGCTGGGAAGGAGGAATGTCCTAGAAGAAGATGCAGCATCCTAGCAGTGAAGAGAAGGCAGGAAGAAAGACATAGCATTCTTTTTGATAAAATGAAGGTCTTTTGCAACATTTCAAATACAGTTCTGTGGTTGAAAGTCATATAGTTAGGAACATGCACTAATTATTTTTCATTTAAAAAACAAACAGAAGAAATTTAGCTTCTTTTTTAAAAAGCTGATATAAGTTCTAATAGAAAATGTTCACGTTTGACGGCAAGGGGAAAGAAAAAGGAGAGAGGGAAACAAACCATAAAAGATTCTTAAAGATAGAGAACAAACTGAGGATTGATGGAGGGAGGTGGGTGGGGGATGGGCTAGACAGCTGCCGGGTATTAAGGAGGGCACTTGTTGTGATGAGCACTGGGTGTTGTATTTAAGTGACAAATCATTGAATTCTACTCCAGAAACAATATTACACTGTTACGTTAACTAAGTAAAATTTAAATTAAAAAAGAAAGGAACAGAAAATGTTCATGTTTGAAATTTATAATTTTTTTCAGAGACTATTATTTGCATTTAAAATTTTTATTTAGTTTCAGTTCTGTGTCACACGTTTTGATGGGCTCCCACCTATTTTTTTTTAATTGACACTAACTATTTATTCCTATAATTATTCAGGATTTGATTAGAATTGATTTTCAGAAATGGAAATTACCTGAAGAAAAGTTTTTGTTTTTTTTTTTAAGATTTTATTTATTTATTCATGAGAGACAGAGAGAGAGAAGCAGAGGGAGAAGCAGGCTCCCAAGGAGCAGGGAGCCTGATGTGGGACTCGATCCCAGGACCCTGGGATCATGACCTGAGCCGAAGGCAGATGCTTAACCATCTGAGCCACCCAGGCGCCCTGAAAAGTTTTGTTTTTTTTTTAACACCTATTTCGTAGCTCTTTTCTGTATTATATATTTATCTTTGTGTATTAGTTTTTGCCATAATAAGTCACAAACCTGTAAATTGGTTCTGCTGTAACAAAATACTACAAACTTGGTGGCTTAAGACAACAGAAATCTACTGCCTCACAATTCTCAAAGCCAGAAGTTTGAAATCAAGAAGTCAAGGGCATTCTGTCTCTGAAGGTTCCGGGGGAGGATCCTTTTTTGCTTTTTTGTAGCTTCTGGTGGTTGCTGGTAGTCTTGGCATTCTTTGGTTTATAGCTACATCACTCCCATCTCTTGCCTCTGTTGTCACAGCATGTCCTCCTTTGTGTCTGTCTCTGTGTGTCCTCTCCTTTTCTCGTAAGGACACCAGTCACTTTAGATTTAGTGCTCACACTAATCCAAAATGACCTCATATTAATGAATTACATCTATTTCCTCACATTCTGAGGGAGGGGGAACCACTATTCAACCCTATACACTTTGTATCTAATCAGTCTACATATATCACTTTGAGGGCTTTTTGTTTTGTTTTTTTTTAAATAAATTGTATTGTTTTTAATGTTTCTTAATGTATGGAAATATGCCGTTCTTAAAAGTCTGTTTTGTTGTGTTTTGGTTTTGTATGTTGCCAACTGAATTAAAATCCACATAAAAGTTGAAAAAGTAATACAGCAATCCTTAAAACCATCACGTAGATTCACCAGTTTTTAATATTTTGCTTTGTTCTGTATCTATATAAAAAAAGTTTTGCTGTACCATTTAAGTTGCACAAATTATAATATTTCATCCCTAAATACTCAAGAATATACTAAGAAAAGGACATTATATTCTATAACCACAACAAGAAAATCATTTTTTTTTTTTTTTACCTGCAGCACCTATGAGAGGGTCATCAGGCTCAAATGAACATTCAGACTAAGACTGCCTTTGGTGATCTTGGCTTTAACTATTCGGAATATCACACAGCAGGCACGCTAGCATGTTGTTCGTTCTATGTTCAAAATATATTATGAGTGCCATACCTTCTCACCATTTTCCACCACTAACTTTCTAATCCAGACCACCATCACCCCCAGTTCGCACCACAGAATTGGCCTCCCGATGACCTTTCCCATTTTCTGAGTCCATATGCAACTTGTCTCTCAGTGGTCTTTTTTTACCATAAACAATATTAGTAAGATAGTTCACCACATACCACTTTGTCATCTAGAATGTAATGCAAGCCACATATGTAATATAAAGTCTCCTAGTGGTGAATTTAAAAAGAAAATGGTAAAATTAATAATGCATTTTGTTTATTTCAATATATCCCAAATATGATCAGTTTTTATGTACAATTACTATAAAATTACTAATGAGATAATTTACATTTCTCTTTGCTCTAAGTCTTCAAAATCTGGTGTGTATGTTACACTCACAGCACCTCTCAATTTAGTCTAGTCACATAGCTGGTGGCTACCATATTGGACAGGCTGCTCTAGAGCACTGCTCCCTTTATCTTTGCACTCATCTTCTGATTTACATGATGTTTATGAAGTGTCTTTCTTTGTCACTTTGCTTATCTTTGCCATAATGGGTAGAAAATGAAAAATTTTGAATTCTCAACTGTGTTCAATAAACGCTAAATATTTTTAAAAGATTTTATTTATTTATTTGACAGAGAGAGAGCACAAGCAGGGGGAGCGGCAGGCAGAGGGAGAAGGAGGCTCTCCACTGAGCAGGGAGCCC